TTGTCAAGTTTGAAACAAGGTTTCATTACTGTATCTAATAAAATCAGACAATGAAAACCTTTAAACCCTTTTGACTTTTTCTAAAACAATGCTGCCTTCCTTTTCATATACCCAAAATTCCAACAATGTATTTTACTGTATCAGATGTTTGAAATGATAACTTTATTCTCTAAAATTCAAAAAACAAAACAATTTCTTTTTATTGCAAAAACTATTTTTTAATGTCCATCTTGGATGCCAGTGATCAATTCTTTTTCTTTATTATCTGTGAATTGCCATGACTTCTTGGGAAAGATAATGGAGTTAGGTTCTCCATGGTTTTGAATTCAGAGTAGTCATCTATGCCATATCCCTTCAGGATGTAGGTGATCATGGCTCTCCACAGTTTCCTTTTTTATTATTTGTAAATTATGACCTCTTAGGAAAGAAAGATAATTTTGTCTTATATTTGTGAATTATGACTGCTCTGGGGAAAGATAGTACATTTTCCTCTGGAGTGAAAGCAGGATTGCTGTCTTTATTAGTTTATTTGTTTGAGATGTTGTATGGAATATTTAAATGATTAATGTCCATCTCTTCCCATCTGTGCACAGAGCATAGTCTATGAAAAGATTAAATAGATTGGGGCTCTCATTTTCTTCTTGTCATATTCCTGATGAGGTTGGAAATGCTTACATATTGGGTTTCTTGACAGACTTGTAAGATTTTGTGGACTGATAAAGTTCCCCTATTAGATCATTGCATTAAGTGGATTCATAACTTGGAATGCAATTAAAGCCAGTGCAAGGGTCTCATAAGTACACCCCTCCTAATCTATGATATGCACCCCCCAACTTTACTACATCTCAATTTTCATAAGGTAGTATTCATATAAAATACAAATTCTATTATAATGTAATTATGTACAATAATGGATCACATGCAATATAGGTGAACAATTCAATGAGAAAAATTGAAAACAAATACATCTAAATACAAATTAGAGACCTGTCATAATAGATCTTTCCATCTTAAAAGAATCAATGTTTTGCTTTTTAATATCAACTTGAGAACTTTTTTGTTAAAAAGTTAAATAATTTTAGCACATTTAACATTATGGATAAAAGAATTTTATAGCTTTTTTTTTTATACTTAGTGTTGGAGCATACATACGGATTATAATGGGTATGTTCCCATTCACATAAATACAGTAGTAAATACTGTATATTGGTCTGCAGTTGGAGATTCATTGTGGAACTCACATGACTCACTTCTAGCAGTTGACTACTACTTCTACACACTGCTAGTGAATCTTATATGTGTTGTTCGTGTCCTAAGTATTATCATTATGACCTTTGTGTGATTATTCTATTCAGTAACCTTCCCTAGGTTACGACAAAACAAATCCATGGATATGGATAAAAAATGTCCCCAGAATGACATGAAAACCTGTGAAAATTTTTCATCCTTTTGGCAGTTGTGCTTAGTTTAATTTGTAATGTATATAAATTTAGTTAGAAAAAAAATCAAATGTTAAGACAGCGAGTGTCACAGAGTACTGCCTGGGGGCCTCCATTTAGGCTTGAATTCTGAGTTTTCCTTCTAGACTGGTTACTGCCTCAACAAAAGATCTCTGTCTACCCTGCTATTTAATCTATAGCTGAAGGAAAATGGATTCATGCCTTTTTAAGGCTTACGGTTACACGTTGAAATACCAGTTCCCGTATGATCATGAAAGTTAAGCAATGTTGGGCCTGGTTATTACCTAGATAGATGACCAATTTGGGGATATAAGCTTTCATATTTAGTTGGATAACTGAAAATTGGAGATGGAGTTCCAATTCCAGTCATGTTCATTATATTCACTTCTACACACATATACTCTTGGGAAAGGTATGAATCTATCTGCCCCACCACCCAGCACTTGTATCAGTAAATTATTCTCTCTCAAAATGTTCAAGTGTTGTAATGAAGCGCAGAGTTCCAATTCCTGTCAGGTTCTTTATATTCACTTATGCTCAAATGCCCTTGGGATAGGTAGGAACCCACCTCTTCTCCCCCCCCCAACTGTGGGTTAATTAATGATACTAGTAGGACTTGTATCAGTAAATCATTATATCCAAAAGATTTTTACATTTTAAAGATATTTTCTGGCTTTAAATAACCTGCAAAAGGTTGATAAACCATAAAAAAACAATCAATTAATTAATCATGGCCCTTTTTCAAGGGTATTAGTACAAAGTAAATGAAACAGTTGGAATTGAACTCTGCAGACCTAATTCATTTTCTCTACTGATATCTGTTACACCATCCACACCTCCTTTCCTTATGAAGAAATTATTAATATTACTTTTACTAAGAATGGAAGTGTTCAATATTTGAACATATTATACATTTGAATCTAAAATCCTGAACAAGTGTGCTTAGCATCAGTTCACTATTTGATAGCATTGAGTAATAATATTCATTAGTACAAACTACTACATCTGAGTTGTGTATGAAACAGGCAGTAAGAGAATTTTTTGATAACGGAGAATTGTGCACCAAATGAAATTCAAACTTATGAATGCAGTTAAAATCTGTGAATATGTAAATAATTTATCTGCAGAAAAGGGCCTCAAAGGAAAATGATTTTTTGCACCAAGATTTTTTTTGGTGGGGTGCACCAAGAACAATGCAAGATCACATTGCAGTCAACAAGCTGCAAATGAACCTGATATTCTGTTGTTGCACTTGCTCTCTGTACAGCTCTAATTTGGTGCCATAAGATTTCTGATTGTTTCAAGAATTGCAAAAAGGTGTTCAAATGCCAATGCATTTCTTTTGACACTGAAGTTACTGTGCACAATGGTGCTCAAAAAGTAAAAAATGATTTCTTTTTCTCTACTGAATGAAAAACCATACAAAATGTTTGGAATGTGTGTAGCACTAAAGTTTTGATTGTTAAAGAAAAAAAATTTGTAATTTTGAAGATAAATTTACATCATTTGATTTATTATTTCAATTATTCTCTCGAATTTTGATCATCTCCTGATTTACATTTTGATTTTGATTAGGTCCTGATTTACGTTATTTCGATACCAGTTTGATTATTAGGTCCTGATTTACATTATTTTCATACCAGTTTGATTATTCGGTCCTGATACCAGTTTGATTATTCGGTCCTGATTTACATTATTTCGATACCAGTTTGATTATTCGGTCCTGATTTACATTATTTCGATACCAGTTTGATTATTCGGTCCTGATTTACATTATTTTGATACCAGTTTTGTTATTCTGTTTCAATACCAGTTTTATTATTCAATCTGGTCTAAATCTTGGTTTACAGAATTGGAGATGGCCCTTATCACTCAACACTTGTAATTTTGAAGAGGAAATAAATTCCTTTAAATTTTCTCTTTGATCTAAAACTTGTTTTATAGGAGCAGAAAGCTTACTTATCAATCAACATTGATAATTTTAAAGAAAAATAAATTTACTTCCTTTTGATACCAATTTCATTTGCTTTGTTTAAAACTTGTTTCATAAGATGTGATATCTTATTTATCAATGAACTGTGATATAAATTGCCTGAATCCATAATTTCAAAGTTTCTCTCTAGCATCATCCCCAACTCAGCTCTTTCATAAAAATAAACTTGTAATTTTGAAGAGAAATTTACTTCATTTAAATACTAGTGACATTATTTTATCTGGTCTAAAACTTGTTTTATAGGATTGGGAATCTTATCAATGAACTTTGATATAAATTGTCTGAAACCATAATTTCAAAGTGCTTTTTTTTCCCTTCTCTCCAGTATCAAATTCAACTTAGCTTTTGTTTTTTTTTCTATTCAGATGCAGAGTATTGATCTATATTTAGAAGATAGATTAGTTCTAGAAATGTAATTTTTTTTTTTTTTTTTTTCTTGAGACATAACATTGTTGCCAGATAAACATCTATTGACCACTGTACAGGTGGCGTGTCCAGACCAATAAATCATATTGATTTAGGTCAAAGAAAAATATTAATTTTCTTTTTAGTTCCTTCGGGGAAACTAAATGTCAATTCCTGACCAATATGATGAATCTGGTTAGTAAGATAATCAAAGTTGTAGAAAAGCAACCAGAAATAATTTTTCAAATTTTTTTTTTTATTTCATAGATTAAGCAATTCAGATTATGAATTCCAAAGAAATTTTTTTTTTTTACTAAATTTTAAGATGAGGGTGGGGAGGTTTGCTATGTAAATTCATTGTAAATTGATCTCCTTACAAAACCAAAAACAAATATGCTCATTTGCCATGTTACTTAAGATTTAAAAAAAAATCTAATAACAAACATTTGAAATTTGCAATCTGGAGAGCTTAATCAATAGTTATATATGAAAAAAGAACATCTGTCTATATTTCTGAGATGAGGTATCGTAATTATTTAGACAATTTACATTGTTCGGACTGTTGTCCTTGTCTTTATTGTCATATTCACAACATTTTGGCCATTGGACACTTCAACCTTCTTCAGGTGATATGCATTGGAATTTCAGATCAAAGCCTTTTAGTCCACACGGGTAGATTGTTCTAGTTCCACGTACCATACCTTTTCTGGATATCTCGGTTTCAGTTATCTCCCTTTAGTAAATCAACTCTCCAAGTTTTTGTTCACCTCTGCTGTGGCCGAGTGGATAAAAGCATTTGTTGAAGTAATCCAGAAAGTGGCTTGACCCAAGGAGTTGTGAGTTCAATAAAAAAATAAATGCTTGTTAAGTGTAAGTTCACTTAAATTTTGTCATATATATTTGGTAAAGGAAATTTAAAATTATTACTTTGTTCAGATGTTCTCCTTACTACTGTTTTTACTATCCCCTTTTTCTGAAAGCCCCCTTTTTTATCCCCCACCTCCAATCTCTTCTGCTTGCTACTCCTTTTTCTAAAACACCGCCTTTTTCCTCATCATTCTTCCAAGATCTTAGTTCCTACTTTGGGAATCTCATTCCTAGACTTGGTTTAGTAAATCATTAGGGTACTTTAGCTGTGGCTTATGCTGTGGCTAATGGTCAGTTCCCCTCTCTTGTGGGTCCCCTCCCTATCTTTCTATTCTTTTCTCCTGTTTATCCCCTTATTTCAATCTCCCCCTCTCTCCTCCTATATATTCTCTCCCCTATCTCTCCACCTCTGTCCCTCCACCTCCTCTATCTTTCTCTCCACCTCTATCTCTCTCATCTATCTCTCTTTCTCCACCCCATCTCCTCTGTATCCCCACCCCTCTCTCCACCTCTATCTCTCTCCACCTCTATCTCTCTCCACCTCTATCTCTCTCCACCTCTATCTCTCTCCACCTCTATCTCTCTCCACCTCTATCTCTCTCCACCTCTATCTCTCTCCACCTCTCTCTCCCCACCCCTTCTATATCCCTCTCTCTCTCTCCTCTCTCTCCACCTATCTCCCACCTCTCTCCACCTCTATCTCCCTCTCTCTCTCTATCTCATCCCTCTTTCTCCCACCCTCTATATCCCTCTTCCATCCCCCCTGTTCATCCTCTTTCTCCCTATCCCCTTCCATCCCCCACTGTTCAGCTGTGGAGCTTGTCATTTTCAGGCACAATAACTCCATCTTTTTCTTTATTGTTTGTGATGATGTAAAAATGTTTCGTCTCCAAGAGGACATTCTGACCTGCTTTGTTCAGTGAGTAAATGAAAACCTTTCATCAAACACTCACTGTATCTTAATTTTTTCAAAATGTCCTCGAAAGTGGGAAGATTGTTCATTTTGCAGTCGAACATACATCCATATTTTAAATTTAGACTCTAGAATTGTAATTCAGTATTGGGTTTACTTCTATGGCATAGAGAGGTTAAAGATTAAAAGTCCCAGATTTTAATTGTGATTATGTTACTCAATATAGAATGCCAGATTTGGGGACCAAGTTTGGCTTTCGAGAATAAAATAGGAAAAAAAAAGAAAAAGAAAAAAGTTTGAGATTTTAAAAAAAAATAAATAAATTAGAAAATGAGTTTCTTTTTAGTTGGTGAATTTAGGCAGACTAATTCTAAAAATTCTAATTTCAATAGAAGTGAGTCAGGTCTTGAATAATGGGATGGGGTTCAAAATCTAATAAACAGAGAGGCTGGAATAATCTTGGTAGGAACTAGCTTTTTTTTCTTTTTTTTTTTTTTTTTTTTTTTTTTCTTTTTTTTTCTTTTTTTTTTTTTTAGAATTTATTTGAACAAAGAAATGATATGCTGACATACAGTAAATTATTTAATGAGAGTTAAAACTGTTTTCTTCTCGATTAAAATTTTTATCGGAAATAAATATAAACTTGACAAGGCCTATTTCTAAATGTCCTTCATGTCTTCTTCATGGATTGTCTGCCATTGTTTTTAATTGTAATCAAGATGGAGTAAAATGAACAAAACATCTTTGATTTGGTATTTCAGGAACAAGTCTTCTTTGCTTAGCATCCCAATGTTGTTTTATCTTTTATTTTAATTACTTTAATTCTGGCTCATTTTACATTTCTGCACAACAGCTGCTTTTCTTGAATGGAATATTGTTCATAAAAGCCACTTGCCAATTTTCTTTCCTCAGTCATTTCTTTTAAATTAATTTTTTAAATAACAAGCAAAGACTGCACGTTACACGATTGAAATATTATTTTAATTTGTTATGATTCAAATGAAATTTTAGAATTGAATGAATTATAATTTGAATGAAGTTTTAGAATCTGTATCAAATCAATTTTGCAATTATAAATCCTTCATTTCTAAGAATTTTTTTTTCTCGGATGATTCCACGAAAATAAGCAAGTTGGGAGATGATGTTGGACTTTTTTTCATTTAATAAGCGGGACTGATTATAATGGATGCATTAGTAAATAAAATATGAAAAAATTTAATATTTAAAAAAAAAATATGCAGTTGCTTTTTTATATATTGTTCCTGTTTAACTGTTTTAGCCTGTTTATTTTTCTTTTCCATGCTTGAAATATTTCTAGCATTAGTCATTTTTGCTAAACAATATATGATTTCAGGTGGGAAGAGAAAATACATTACTTTTCTTTCTATATAAATGCTAATTATCAAGAATATTGTTCACCTTGTGAAATGAAATTATTGCCTTTACCTTTCTTTCAGTTTCCCTTGTTTTTACCGTAATCTTATTTTCTGTTCTCTCTCTCTCTCTCTCTCACCCTCTCTCTCTCACCCTCTCTCACCCTCCATCTTTCTCACCCCTCGTCTCTCTCTTGCTTGCTATCTCGCTTGTCCTCTCTCGCTCTTTCTGTCTCAAAAATAATTCATTAGATAAATCGTAAGGGATACAAGTTGAATTAAGTAATGTAAATTTGAATTACTTTAGTCATAAGTAATACTGTTTTCCATTGTTGAAGTTATAATTTCCAGGTTACCTCCCCTCACAAAAAAAAAAAAAATTTCTCAAAAATTTTACCCTGTCTTTTGTAGGTTACTTTTTTATTTTAATACATTATTTTATTTATTTAATTCTTTTTTTTCTCAGTTCAAAACTGGGAAGTGCCCTTGGCATAAATTTTAGATTACGGCACTTGTCATTGTTTATTTATTTATTTATTACTTAAGCTTTGATAGTGTCTGGTGTTATTCTGTTGATGGTTTTTGTTTTGTGTACATGTTTTTTTGTATTTCCTTGGCCAAACATTGATTTATATATTAAATATGTCTTTGTGGAGAATTTCTTATCTCTCAAATTTTTGGTTTTCCATCTTTAAAACTGTTGTAATGTTCAAAATATTTGAGAATTAGGAAGGTTGTAGTTAGAAAGAGTATTGAAGGAACAGAAGACTAGGTAGGGAAAACAAAGTGGTTTACCCAATACTCATACATAGAATGGAAAAACTTCAGTAAATCAACTACTCAAATCCATACTCTAATGATGATTTTCTAAGCGTAGCTTAGATGTGGCACAAGGCCAAAAGTATAGGGCACCTAGGAAGGGCTGAATTCACTTTTTAGCAGTAATTGATCTAGAAAGACAAGCTTGCTAATCTCTTTCCCCACATCGAAGTACCCAAATCCTACTCTAATGTGCCTACTTGCCATATTTATAAGTAGGAGCAGTCCATTGTCACAGTAGTAGAGAAAAACAGGAACTACAACAAAAGCAATTCCCTCCCTCCCATTAGTCAGTCTTGTATTTGTAAAAGGAATAAAACCCAGCTGGTATTAAAAACCAAAAATACAATTTAAAAAGTAAAAAACTTTATGACAAGTCAAAAAAGAAAAATTGTTGTTTGTCAAAATGTTTGTCTCTTTGAAATGGTATAAAAAGAAAAACACATGCAAGATTTCTATATTTTTTTTTTTTTTTTTTAACCCTTTCACTTGCCAAATATTTTAGGAAATACATTTCATTTTCAGACAAATTTCTTTATTTGTTTTTAATAATACATTAACTAAGAAACTGAGGCACCTTGAAGTACACAAGCAGTGGCTAACACCTCTACTAGATGTATGAGTTGACAGTTGGACTCAGTTTCAAGCTCAGAAGGGCATGAAAATCAAGATCGACATATAAACACATCTATGCTGTGGAAGGGGTTAAAATAGAAGTGTTATGACATGACATGACTTGTGGACAGTATTATTCTCAACTGCTTTCAATCTGGGCTGAAGTATAAGGTGAAAAGTAATCATAAAGCTTTTGTTCCAACGCTCTTAACCTTTATCACTTTGAGAGTTCATGTGCAGTACAAAAAGTTTATGCTGCCATTGAAGGTGACTCTGATCCCTGAACAATAGTGTGTTTGAGTTTCATAGTTGTGTTGTCATATCCTGCTATGGCAACAGAAAACAACTTTGAGTGAAATTAACAATAAGGTTACTGCAATTGAGAAACCTTGAAAAAGAATGCAGTGCAAAGGTAAGTAATATTAGTAATGCAGAGGGCTAAAGCTTAATATTGGCACTGTCAACTCAACCTGCAGCACTTTCAATAATCCCTCCTAATAAAGTTGATAAAGAATTTGCCAATGCCTCTGTCAACAGCAAAGATTTAGTATCAATTTGCTCATTTACAAACATTGCACACAGACTTGAAGTAAAGAGATCATTTAGTAGGCTAACTTTCGTGAGTTTGATTTGTTCTGGTTGCCCCACAGGTAACCTTGTGCCAGACATAGTAAATACTTTGGGTTGTTAAATTGTTGAATAATGTTGAGTAACAGCAATCCATCAAGATTTTCATCCTTTTTTATTACATTTATGGCAATATAGCAAATATTAAATACATTTCTTCTTTTTTTTTTTTTCTATTTTTTTTTTTAATTCATTGGAAATTATTTTACTATAACATCCATTGCAAATCACTGAATCCATCCTGCACGTTCATAAATCTACCATTCATCTGTGCGTTGAATATTGCTGCCATGCCTGGTTTGGTGCTCTGGCTATATATCTCAAGATTTTTGACAAAATCCAAAGAACGGTCTAATGTTATTGACCCTAACCTGGCATCTTGACTTGAGTCCCTTTCCCACCGCTGTAAAGTGGCTTCTCTCCGTCTTTTCTATGAATATTTTTATAATCGCCTTGGTACCTCATTCTTGTGAATTTAAGCATACTACTGGACTGGCTACTAGTGCACATTGTTTTACTGTTGAAATAGGTAGATTTGTATGTTCTAGTCTAATAGTTTCCTGCCGTATCAGTCTATATTTCTGAGATGAGGTATTATGTACACTATTTACATTATTTGGACTATTGTCCTTATCTTTGTTGCCATATTTATCACAACATTTCGGCCGTTGTATGCTCTGGCCTTCTTCAGGTGGTTGGAATGTCAAACTGAACCCTTTATTAAGGACACATGACACAGTGGATAAAGGCATTGATTAGATCCAGTGACAGGACCCAAAGAGTTGTTCCATACCTGGTTAAGTCAGTGAAGAACTTGGAGAGGGGAATTAACAGGAGATAACTGATAACGGACATCCATTAGACACGGCATGTGGAACTAGAACAGTCTACCCCAGGGAACGAAATAAAGGGTTCATTTTGGCATTCCAACCACCTGAAGTAGGCTGGAGCGTACAACGGCTGAAACATTGTGATAAATATGGCAACAAAGTGGAGGACAATAGTCCAAATAATGTAAATGGTGTAGCTTCCTGTCCTTTATAAGTAAATTTTGTTTTAATGCTCTCCTTAACCCTGTTTTTCTAACCATTTACACAATCTCTTTAGGTAGCTTACATTATTTACATTATTCGGACCGTTATCAACTTCACTGCCATATTCACAATGTTTCAGCCATTGTATGCTCCAGCCTTCTTCAGGTGATTGGAATTTTGAACTGAACCCTTTTTATCCACCGGGGTGGATTGTTCTAGTTCCATATGACTAGACCCAAAGAGTTGTCAGTTCAATACCAGTCCACAGCAATGGTGAACCAAATTTGGAGAATTGAGTTAAAGGGAAATAACTGGGCCAGCTGGAAGAGTCATGGCACGTGGAACTAGAACAATCTGCTCCAGTGTACAAAAAAGAGTTTGGTTTGAAATTCCAATCACCTGAAGAAGGTCAGAGCATACAATGACCAAAACATTGTGAATATGGCAATGAAAATGAGGATAACAGTTCGAATAATGTAAATAATATAAGTAATCATAATACCTCATCTCAAAGATATAGACAAATACTCTTTAGGTAGGTT